ATAGATGACCATCCGGGGAAATTCAGAAGCTTGATATTCTTTTAGCATCAAGTGCACTACTGGAATCTACAATGTACGGATAAAGCAATATAAGTGACGCAACATGTACGGTACGTTCTAGTGCACTGTTGTATCGCATCATTTTTCAGAGGAAATACAAAACAGTAGGTTCAATTTGCGGGTGCATCTCACTGTATCTCTGTGGTCGTTAGGTCACAAGTGTAAATTTCCTCGGCTGCCCAAAGGAATCTTTGTTTGCTCGCAGAATTTTACGAGCGGAACCGACAAATGATGGCTGTAAACTTGCAGTCGCGCTGGACTGATGACGTGTAGGTCTCCTGCTGGTCAACGACCCTATCTGAGCTGTGTGCCTAGCTGCTGGCTGACGTGCTTCGTCTTGGCGCTGCAGGTAGACAATCCATGCAAATGGGATTTCTTGCCATCCAGACTATTCGTCTGTCCAGGTTGTGATTTTCTTCCATTCTAGGTTCTGCCAGATTGTTCTGGTTCTTGGTGTGCCCCTGCGAGAATGTTCGGCCACAAATTGAAACAGCAGATTGGAAGGGGGGGGACCATGACAAATCGTTTTGCAAAACACAGCACGAGGAATGTGAATGCATCCCCCTCTCAGCTTGCTTTTCACACTCAAAACAACCCGAGGCATTTCATCCTCATGCCGTTCAGTGAAATACATCACACCATATGAGGGGTTAACACTGCCCGCATTTTTTGTCACGTCTGGTGATGGTTGGCTCTGGAACAGGCCTGTCGAAGTCCCTGGGGCTCGAACTTGCGCTCCCCAGCTCCTCCCAATCTGACACTTGGTTGGGGGTAGGTGATTGATTTGGCGCCCTTAAGGGTCGCGGGCACACCCCAAAGTCAGAACTTGAAATCAGGGCATGTCTGAAGTTTGCCCTTACACTTCTTTACACTATGACAAGTGCAGTTATCTACTTCAATTAGAAGTCAAAGACACCAGACACTACACATGCGGCCAATCAACTTAGCCAAATTCAGGCACGCTAATCCTATGTGTCCTCCCAGCTGTAACATGCGGCCAGCTAGTATTGGCTTGGACGCTAAGGGAAAGTTCGAGTGCTCCATGTGTGTCTCAGCCACTTTACAGATACGGACGGGATTGGCTCGAAAACGCTAAGGGAAAAATCCCGTTGGCGCGCTCTCGGGGGGTGGGGGGGGGGGGGGGGTGGGGGTGGGAAGGCAGAATTCGGGGGGGGGGGGGGGGGCCTACAACCGGAAACCAAAACTTAGTGGGTGGGGAAGGCCTGATTGGAGAACTTATCGCGTCCGGGGAAGGGTCTGACGAGGCACTTAGTGGCACGGGTGCAATGCGATCCTAACACTTTATGCAGTCGAGCTGGAGCTAACGTAACCCGGAATTTCAGGGCATTAAGGGCATATGCCCGTCAATCGACAGGCCTGATCCCAACACTGTTGGACTAGGGGTGGGCTCTGTTGTTCTCTATGTTGCCTGCTGTCACTGCCATTCTAACGATTGACTGACCCACGTTGATTTACTATTGTCATTCTGCGAGCAAGACTTTACACCTGGTTCTAGATAGTTGTCACTGTGGCAAACCCCCCAATAGCATGAAAATTTGACAGAAGAGATAGTGGAAAAATTCCTTTCTATTTCACACCAGAGCCATTCGGCCTTTATGTATGACAAGAATGTGATTACATAGACTTGTCTTATCCTGTAAAAAACTGCTACCATTACATATCAGGATTGCATAATCTCATCTAGAACCAGTCACAATCAAATTACTTACGATGCACGGTTTTTTTTTTTCACATTTGTTCCTTTTTTGAGTTAATCACATACACATCTACATGTATCCACAAACAATGCTCATTTAACTCCCCACCTTACTATACATGTATACACAGGATACACATATTCATTCAACATTTAAGGGGCGTCAATGGGCATAACTAAGCAAATATATTTCGCCTTCCTCCATCAAGTACGCCTGATGTGATAGTAAATGAGTATTAAAACTATCATATGTATATATATATATCACAAAATGTGTACGAGAGTGAATATATATATCATATTTCTAAGATAGCTTATAGATGTTATGGAATTAATGCAGTCTGAGATTTGTGACCAGTATCGTATTATGATTCATGTAATAACGATTTGATGATATATAGGTATTATGCGAAATGATGCGACCTACCACAATGTAATTGATGTGTATCACTAACAAGGTTGAATCGTATCGAGCTCCACATTGTTATACGGCTTCAATATCATCGTACATTTTCACATACTTTTGGTTGCATGTGCCGCATGGTTGTTCTACTCTTCTTCAAATGGTATGGATCATATTACGGTCAAACGGCTATATGACATCGTCTTTGGGGGCACATTCACGTACAAACGTTGCGTCTTTTCCCTATCCAATAGCCAATTATATCATCGTAGGTCGTTCCATCGGAACTTTATGGTGGCTCAAAACATTTATGCAGGGACTACAGCTTGGTTTTTCTTGGAAAATAGGGATGAGCTCATTGATTCAACAAAGGCTTAGAGAATAAGATAATATGAAAAAAAAAAACAATTTAAAACAACGAAAGGCAAGTTCCATGATTTCATCATATGAAAGCATTTTTACGAGATGAAACATTTTCCTAGAAGGCTTCATGAATGAGTTCCGATTTGTTCAATTTGCAAGATTTGTAGACAATCGTAACAATTATTAGTCGAGATACGGATGAACCGTAGATGTTGCCTATGAATGCACTGGGAATGTAAAAATCAGCCTTATTTTTGCTATGCGGAGCCTCATCCAGCCATGCTTTTGAAGGCTTGCATGTTGGGAAGAGCGGAGTCGTTACTAACAATCTCTTAAGGTGAAACTATATATGCATGATTGACTTTGGGAGGTTCAAGTGGGTCCACGACAACAAGACAGAATAGCGTCAGGTGCTTCATCTTTACACGTGAGGCATCAAAAGGCTAGATGATACGTAGCTTGGTGAACCAAGTCCATGGAACAAAAAAACGTTGAAAAGGGCTAGACTTTTTTTTTGTTAGATTAAGCTCACATTGTAACAATAAAAATGCGGTAACAATCATCTTCAACACATGATACCTTCAATATTTTCTCAAAAATGAGATTCTTGCAGATTATGCTCCTGGCCGAGCAGAGGTTGTATCTCGTGAATCAACAAGACTTGGTTCACCAAAGACATTGCAAAGTTTTGTTATTCCACATGAGTGCGCTAGTAAGAGAAGAAGACATTGCAAGGCAAAACGTGTACAATGTGGCCCAGGGAAGGTTCGTTCGGACTTATTTCGTCACGAACCAGCAGATTATGGGTACAGTTCATGTAGCGTTCTCGGGTCTCGGCTGTACGGAATCTGGATTTCGTGTTCCACATTCCAGTAAGGACAATTACATCTTCCCACTAGAGGCTCGGGCGGGCAAAATGGACAGGGCAGCCAGGATGACTGAATTTCGCGACGTGAACAAAGGTTTGACAGCTGTACTGGTTTTTTTCGGGCAAGTTTATGAAGAACAGTAGAATTGACCAACACACTTGGACTCGGTTGAAAGAGCATCATCATGCGCACAACACGACGTGGACCAAGTAGCCCGAGAGGGGCAACGGCAGTCTGGCAGTCTGGCGCTCGGTACACTGGTACTGTAAACATTGCCTAGGGTCTGAACGCGCTGTACACATTGCCCCAGAAGTTCGTTAGTTTTTACTCGTTGAGACCGCAGCCCGAGTGGAAATAAGCGAGAGATGTGGTCAATCGCTTCAGAAACTATTTATTGCTGCCTCAGAAAAAAAAAAAACATTGCTGCTTCGGAAAAGTTTGGAGCAATATGTCACGAGCCAGAAGAGACAGTGGCGAAAATGGGAGTGTAGAAATTCTAGAAACGAGATTGTAACCTTGGTCAATATCTAGCCTCCTGATCCCATAAATTTCTCTTGCCGCGCGCTTATGGCGCTCGAAACTTTTCGAACTCTATCGACCTGGAATGGAATGGAAGCGAAGAGAAACGAACAGAATTTCACTTACCAAAATTTTACCCGTCTCGATACAGTGTGTTTCTGTCCTATCATTACTGTACACAAATTCGTTAACCAGCCCATACAGCTGGCCATCCTACCCCCCCCCGCATGTCCCTTCCAGACCCTCCCTCCCACCTTCCCTCCCGCCCGCTTTGCTCGAGGCCTCGTTCAAGCCCAGCTGTCGGCCATGGAAACAGACTTCCATCATCATTCAACGGACGACCTTGGAAATGCCATTGGCTGTTCATCAAGTCATGACGCCTGCCGCTGTAACCTGTTCTCCCTCATCTCTCGCGGCTTGCTGCTTTTTCTGGCTTCTTGCTGAATCTCTGCCTAGCCCCTCAGAGCCAATGACGATCGCTCGTCTTGGACTGTTACATATGCAACCCTCCCTCGACTTCCCCCTAAACCACGTAAATGTATGCAGAGGATCTGATTCACTGACTGTAATTCAAGCTCAACCTCGAAGTTGGAGGAAACCCTAGCCGACTAACGCCTTTGCAGTTCGCTTTGTGTGCTTTATTGGATGTCAATCCCAAGATCTCATATCCCGGTAGATGTGAAATTGTTCTGACGTCTTGTGATTTTCACACACCGTAGTGACTAAAACGACGTTTCAAACGCGAGACGCTTTTTGATAATCCGTCGTTTCATTCCATATTCGAGAAATAGCCTGTCGAACTCACTAGAAGGACTTTAGAACCCGCGTTTCGCTATTTCTAGTCGATCTGCTTTGAGTTTAGCGACGTCGACTCCTTGGCTTGGACTGAACTCTAGTTGGAACGTTTGTACGTCAGTATTGCCGGGAGTGAAACAGCAGCAGTAGAATAATGGAGTCCCAAGGCAATGCATCCGGATCGTTCGTACCGTCACATAGCCCCCTTATGCTTCCGCCATCATCGTCGGCCACAGCCAGCACTTTCGGCTCCGAACGTGTTAATTCCGCGTCTATGGAAGATGGGTTTCGGGGTAGTGGCAGCGGGGGTGACGCCGATGGCGGGGAGGACGAGCCGAGTCCGGCGTCCGGTGGGGCTCAACTCGAACGCGGAGCAGAGCCGGGGATAATAATGCTCGGCGGTCATCGCACGCGACCTAATTGGACTCCTCAGGTTGTGTTTCGTAGCCAGCTTGACTGCAGAAATTTCCGTCATGCCGTTCTTACGTGTACTCATGTCGGTCACAAACCTGATCCATGAGGGTGAGCTGAATATATGTCATTTCTTCCCTGTTAACAGGAAGATTTAATTCTTCTGCAGCACGTGGCGAAGCATGGGACCCGCAACTGGGGGTCGCTTCAGATCGGCGGTTTGCTGCCGATTCGCGATCAGAAGGCCTGCTGCAACCGATTTATCCTTCTGAAAAAGTGAGACGATTAATTTCATGTAGTGTTTGCCTTCTCGAAGTTGATGCAAGGGACCTGCGAAGTTTGGGTGAAGAGTAGAAAAGTCATTTCAGTAGTAGCTTTTGAAGTACACCCACGAATGTCTCGAGGAGTTGCGTTTATCGCGGACAACATTATCCATTTCCCAGATTTCCAACCCTCGCAGCTTATCCTTATCTTTTTGCGTGTGCTTTTGCTCCCCTCAATCCGCGCGTTCCAGGCGTTGCATCAAGGACAAGCGCAGTCTGTCGCAGCTGCTGCAGCGCGCTAAAGACGCCGTCATTCATGACGCAGCCAGGAATGTCAACGCGGCCGCAGCTGGAGCCGCCGGTTCTTCGTTCGTTGCCGGAGCCGCGCAAGCGTCATCCTTCCACCATGCCGCTTCGGGATCGCCGCATGTCGCGGGTGGGTTCGCCGGATCGTCTTCAGCCCTTCACGCTGCTGCCGCGGCGCTCAACCCCCTTGAGGTGCTGCCGGTACGCCTTTACACGCTGGATCCTAATTTTCTTTTCGTGTCAACCGTCCCTTCCTTTCGTCGTTTTCTTATGCCGTCTACCTTCCTGCGATGAAGGCGATCGTCCGTCGTTTCCTTATTGTGCTATTCTTAGTCGTGACGTGCCGGCTCTCACATGGAAAGCTATCGGCTGAACATCACTTGATAAGCATAACTGACGTTTTCCCCTGCGGCCTGTCTTGATTTTTTTTCAGGCTCTAACTTCGCCCAGCATCGGCATCAACAGCCAATCACGGGTCTCCTTCAAAGGGGGTGGCGTCTTAGCTGACGTTAGCCGGCCGTTTTTTCTTTCTGTACCGTCAACGTCAGCAGCGACGTCGCTTCCCGAAAATGTCCTCCGTGCGACACTGCTGCGCTCAGCGTTGTCGTCGGCAGCAGTGGGTCCTCCAGACGCCTCCCAGCCGCTGCAGCAGCAGCTGTTGCAGCAGCAGTTACTTCAGCAGCACTTGCTACAGCAGCAGCACCAACAGCAACAGCAGCAGCAGCAGGACAGCCTTTCGCAACAGAGCGTGCAGCAGCAGTTGTTACAGCAGCAAGCAGCGCTGCGCCAGCTCGCTATGCAGCAGCAGCAGCAGCAGCGGCTGCAGGAGGCACAATCAGCTGCACTGATGCATCAGAAGCAGCTATTCTCGCAGTCCAGCTTCAACCAGGGATCCTTGCAAGGGCTGGAGGGTCGGCATGAGGCGCAGATGCAAGCGCAGATGCAAGTGCAAGTGCAGATGCAAGCACGAGTGCAAATGCAGGCAGAGACTCGACTGTCCATGTTTCAGGGCCAGGCGAGGGAACAGCAGCAGTCACAACTGCAGTCTGTGCAGCACGCTCAACAGCAGCAGCAGTCTCAACAGCAACAGCAGGCTCAACAGCAGCAGCAGGTTCAGGAGTTTCCTCAGAGTCTTCCGCTGGACGGGTTGCAACTGGATGATGCGCAACTGGCGTGGCTGAAGCAGGCTCACATAGAGGCCCAGCGGTTCACGCTCTCTCAAGTGCACGCGAACAAAGTGGAAGGCCAGGGGCACGGGGGAGGGCAGCAGGAAGGGCAGCAGGGAGGGCAGCAGGGACAGCAGGGAGGGGGTAATAGTGGTGAGGAGGTGGGCAGGAGAGAGCATGGTGCAGGTCAGCAGAGAAGCAATTGCGCGAACGATGGGAGAGGGGGCGTGGCACAGCAGGAAGTTTCGGGCCTGCCGAGTGTAGATGCACACAAACAGCAGCAGCAGCAGCAGCAGAGTGCGAGCATGTCGACGCAGCTAGCCAACTTGCGGTGAGTGCATGCGCAGCTGAATTCATACGCGTTAAATTCGTTCCACCAACCCTCTCATCCCTCACATTCTCATCCTCTCCTTCCTTCCGTTGTAGATCGCAAGTGGTGTTTCAGCCCGGGTCGCTGCTCGCCCAAGCACTCAAGCTCTCTCACCAGCCTTCCTTCGCAGCCGTCTCCAATCTCCCGCTCTTCTCTAATTTCCGCTCCGTCACCGCCCCTCACTCCTCCGCACGCGCCACCGAGCCCCATGCATCATCACCCCACGCAGCTACCCTGTCCTCTACGAGCACTGTAGCTGCTGCTGCCGCTGCTGCACCTGCAGGTGCTACAGTGTCAGCTCCCAATTCATCTAGCCCTGCCTGGAGCGAGCCGGCGTTCCCCACTGTGCAGTCGGGGGAGGTGACGGACCGCTTCTCCTCCTTCAGCGATACGCAGTTCGCCTCTGCTGCTGAAATCGGTGCCACCTCATCCACGGCTGCTGCTGGCATGATGGCGGCGGCTGCATCGGTTGGCCTCGATGCTGGTCGCAGTAGTGCTGTTGTTGCTGGTGGCAGCGCTTTTGGTGGTAGTAGTGTTGGTGGTGGCTTTAACAGTACTTTGCCTGGGGGCAATGACAGTGGGAGGGAGGGTGGTTCGTTCACCAATGTTCTTCGGATGTCCTCAGCTGCTTTTCAGCACCAGCAACAGCAGCAGATGCTGCTGCGACAGCAGTGGAGTGGGCAAGCGGGTGGAGGGCAAGAGAATACTGCAGTGAATGCAGAGGCCTCCGTGCATATGTGGAGGCCAAGGGAAGACACGAGTTGGTTCCAGCAGCTGGGGCAGTCAGGAGCACTTGAGAAGCTTGCTGGAGGCATCGGTGGAGAGGGCGGGGAGGCGGAAAAGTCTGCAGCAGCACCGGCTGCAGGAGGGGGAGCAGGAGCAGCAGTAGCGGAAAATCAAGGGTTTGAACGTGGAGGAGGAATGCTATTGCTGGCAGAGCCTGCGACTGGCAATGCAAGGAGGCATGATGTCCAGAGAGAGCATCAGCAGGAGAAGCTTCAGTCTGACGGCATAAGGCATGACCACCCTGTGGATGCAAGCAACCCTCCTCCATTGCAGGAGCAGCAACAAGAGCAGAATGATGGGTGTGGTGGGACTCAGCAAATGGGCCAACGGGTTTCCATGCTGGGGTTGCAGCAATCTCGCAGGTCAGATGCAGTTTTGGAAGCCCTCACATCGGGGTCGCAGTCGTGGGTGGGTCAGGCTGGGCGCTGGGTGGATGAGCATCAAATGCAGTGGAGGATGCAGAAGGCAGGGGAAAATGCAGCTATGGGTGTGGGAATGGGTCAGGCGGAGCAAGAAGCTACACATGCGGATAATCTGGCAGAGGCGGAGATTCTTCGAGCATTACATGCAGAGATGGAGGTGGGTGCTTTTATTTTTCTTTGTTCATTTGTTCCTTGTTTTGGTATATGAAAACTCCGTGTATTCACGCCACTCGGTTCTGATGTTTTGCAGTCCTTGAGCACTCTAATGGACTCTTCATCGGCACCGACCACTTGAGGACTCTGAGACGCCGGATTGGTTGTATGACGTGTCGTTGGATGTATGTACCATAGATTTGGTGTTGGCATTGCAATTCTTTCTTCTAAGAATTGAAAGTAGCCAATGTTGTGTACATATGCCGGAGCCCATACCTGAGTCTTGCTGCTGTAATCCAATCCCTGTGCTAGGAATTGATTTTTATGGTGATTTTAACCATTTTATAGTACGGAGTACGGTATGACCCTTCATGACTGTTCTGAACACTCGGCATTATCGCGCCTCACTGACACACGAACATCGTATTCGCGCGCTCTGTTCACTTGCTTTTGGACCGATTGCATCCTTCCAAGAGCTTCCTCGATTTCAGACCTGAATTCCTAGGGATTCCCTTGTCAGACGGTGCCAGTTGGCTGGTTTGTAGTAGTTCAATGGTGCTGCTTGTGGCATCGCTTCCGCTTGGCTTGTTGACCCTAGATTCATGGCTCCTCCCGTGACGTCTTGCCGAGAACGTTAGGTCTAGGTCTGTCGCTTACTTGGTGGAGCTGTTAGGAGCATCTTGCGAGTAACAGTAGCTGTGTTGGAGTCTATCGATAACTACGGTTAGATTGGGGGGTATGGACTTCTTTAAAGCGGTACTGTTTCAGGACGATGAGGAGGAAGAGGCAACTCCTGAGACAGAAGAGGTTGAGGGTGACAAAAACGAAGGCGAAGGCGACAAGCCCTCAGAAGGAACTGCTGAAGAGGTGCGTAGATTCTTTCCTTGTCTCCGTTTCTTGATTTTCGATATGCTCGCACATTAAGGCTGAGACGTCGGTACTATTTAGCACCGTAGAAAAACGCATCTAGCGTTGTTGTTTTAACGATTTTCGAGTATATTTTCACGTTTCCAGGGCGAGATTGAAGAGGAGGAGGAGACAGAGGAAGAGCAGCCTTCAGCCTTGTGAGTACCCAGCTATCTTGCTTGGTCCGAGCGGGATGCTCTTACGGAAAAGCACTTAGTAGCACAGCTTTGCCGCCATTGTCGTTTTCCTTTGTGTGCAACGTTAGTTTGCCGCGTATTTGACGCCCTATGTTGCATTGACACGTGTCGTCCCCACATGCCATCCACTCATCAGCGGTACCTGGAATCTCGGCAGTCTGCTACAAACAATCGCCACCAAAGTAAGAAATTCTCTACTGCGCTTCTTTCCCCAGCTTTGTCTGACTCGAAATTCTCCTGCTTCCGTTTGCTCATCACGCCGTTTGGCCTTTGCTTACCTGAGGGAGATTCTTCTGCATGCATAATTGCTCCTCGTCATGACTGTGTGTGCTGTCTTTCTGCTCGTCCTTCCAAACCGCGACTCTGCAACCCGTGACTACTGTGACTGCTGTACCTGCTGTGTCTGCTGTGCCTGCCATGCGTGCCATGCGTGCCATGCCTACCATGCCTGCCATGCGTGCCATGCCTGCCATGCGTCCTGTGCCCGCCATGCCTGCCGTGTGTGCAATGTGTGCTACATGTGAGAGCAGTCAGAGGAGGTGTTGCGCGAGTACAAGCAGGAGCTGCAGGAGTTCGGCGAGGGGCTCAAGAAGGAGACGGAGGAGCTGGTGGAAACCACCCGCCACCACCGTCAGCGACCTGCCTTCCTCACTCGAGTCCGGCGCCCAAGCGGCTCAGGTGAGACCTGCTATGCCGTGCCTGCCCCTGTGGTGTCCTCCTTTGTGGTCCGACAAGATTTCGCTTTTTGAGCATTTCCAGCCTGTTCCCTTGTCATTGTTCCGTCCACGGCTGCATCCCTCCCTCCCTCCCTCCTTCCCTCTCTCCCTCCCTTCCCTCCCTCCCTCCCTCCCTCCCTCCCTCCCTCCCTCCCTCTCTCCCTCCCTCCCTCCCTCCTTCCTCCCTCCCTCCCTCCTTCCCTCCCTCCCTCCCTCCCTCCCTCCTTCCCTCCCTCCCTCCCTCCCTCCCTCCTTCCCCCCCCTCCCTCCCTCCCTCCCTTCCTCCCTCCCTCCTTCCCTCCCTCCTCCCTCCTCCTCCTCCTCCATCCCTTCCCTCCTCCTCCCTCCCTCCTTCCTCCCTCCCTCCCTCCTTCCCTCCCTCCCTCCTTCCCTCCCTCCCTCCCTCCCTCCCTCCCTCCCTCCTCCCTCCCTCCTTCCCTCCCTCCCTCCCTCCCTCCATCCCTCCCTCCCTCCCTCCCTCCCTCCCTCCCCTCCCTCCCTCCCTCCCTCCCTCCCTCCCTCCCTCCCTCCCTCCCTCCCTCCCTCCCTCCCTCCCTCCCTCCCGCCCGCCCGCCCTCCCTTCCCTCGCTTCCTGGCTATCTCCTTCTTCCTTCCTCTCTCCCTCCCTCCCTCCTTCCTTTCTTCCTTCCCTCCTCTTCCCATCCCTCCTCCTTCCCTCATCGTTCTCCCCCTCCCGTTTTCCATCCTCATTGACCCCCTATTTCCCTCCTCCCCTTCCCTCGTGTTTATTCCGTGCATCCCTCCTCAATGCCTTATAGAGTTCGTTGGAGGGCGTGGGCCACACAATTGAGGAGTTCGGCTCGTCTTTATGGAAAGGGTGAGTTCAACGCTGAAGAATGCGCATAAAGATGACGTGCCCTGGAAGGGACACGTGGCAGCAATCCTATGGAAGAGAGAGACAGTGTGGAGTAAATTCCACCCATGTCCTCCATCTCTCTTGCCTTAACACCAACAACCCGCTCGCCTCTTCACAGTCCCTCTCACCGTCTGCCGCCTGCCTCGCACCACCCCCTTGCCGCTCAATCACTCCCACCCCCCTCTCTCTCATTGTGCGGAGCAGCACAACGGAGATCCTGGCATCAGTGAAGGAGGCAGTGGCGATGGTGGAGGAGGAGGTGGCTGCCAACGCTGCTGGCGCCCGCCCCCGCGCGCCTTCCGCTGCTGCTGGGCTCGCCTCCGCCATCCCCAGAGGGTGAGAGCACGGGGGAAAGGGAAATGTGGGGAAGAGTGGGAGGGAGGGGGGGGGGATGTGAGGGGGGTGAAATTCGGGAAGGGAGTGAGGTAGAGGGGGGAGAAGTCTACGTGAAAGTAAGAATGTGCTCGTTGGATTGACTACCTTGATGGGCGCAGCGCTCCCTTGTTTTGCTGCTTTCTGCCTGCCAGTTGCATCAGCCCGCAGACTTGTATTCTCATGATGTCACCTCTCCTCACTCTACCCACTTGCCCGTGTGCATGGCAACTGGTCTTCGTCCTTCCGTTGCGTTCTGTATGGCCAATGGAAGCAGCAAGTACAGCCGCTACGAAGCACTTGTGAGCACTCAGCTGCACCCTTCAACTCTCTTGGCTCGGAATTAATCTATTCTCACCTGCCCTTTGCTAACCATACTCTGTGCCTCTTCTCACTGGACCCAGCTCGTCGTCTTGTTTAGTCATCTTCCTCTCCCTCTTCCTCTCCTTGAACCCGCTCACTCTTTTTCAACCATCCACCCCTCTTCGCCCCTCATCATCCCTCTGTGCCGTTGCGTGCAGGTGAGCGCCATGCAGAGGGACAGCAGCACGTACTGTGACGAGCCAGAGGACACAGATGACTTTGCCAAGTGGGTCGAATCTTTCGACCTCAAAAACAGGTGTGCATTCACTCACTCACCCACGCACCCAGCTAGCCCTTCATGTGATGTCTTTTTCTCTTTCCGCTCTGCTTCAGCTCACCGTTTAAGTTGTTCTTTTGGGTCTCCATGCCCTCAGAGGCGATGAGCCGTTGAAACAAGGCATGACATTGCAAGTCTTTTGTGTATTGTGTGGTTCTGACGTTTCTGCTGGATGTTCCACGTGTGTGTGTGGGGTGCACCAGGGAGGCGGACGTGGAGGCAGTGCTTAAGGACAATGCATTCATGCAGGAGCTGCAGTCACGCATTGGTGAGTCATGACATTCACTGCATGCCCTACTCACTTGTTCTTCATGTGGCGTCTATCGTGCCTGTAATCTCCCTCTCCCTGTGTCAAATCCCCAGTCCTCCTGCTCCCCCGTATGGCACACGGCAGTGCCGTTGATCGTGGAGCGCGAGACCTTCTGGACGCGCTACTTCTACCGCCTCTACCGCCTGCAACAGGCCGAGGACGCCCGCGCCGACCTTGTCAAGAGTGAGCCTCCTTCGTGCCGCAGCTTGCTCCATGCTTCCAGCACCCCGTGTTATGTAGAACACTTCATCTGGCCTGGCATACCCTCTGTCATGCTTCTTCCGGTGACTCGAGATGCAGGCTGCTCACATATGCTCACTGTCTTGCTCCCCTGCCCTCACGTGGCTGCATGGGCGACGATGTCATAACAGGAGGACCTGAGCTGGGATGTGGACAACGAGCAGCCATTGAATCACCCTCTGCCATGTTCCCACTGTCTTGCTCTCCTGTCCCGCGTTTCTGCAGGGGCGACAACATCAGAGGAGGAGGACCTGAGCTGGGATGTGGACGATGATGCAGATGACGCTCAGAGCAGCCCTGCAGCCGCCCACCATGGCGCTGCGGGTAAAAGTGAAGCTGCTGATGCGGATGCAGCTGCTGCTGCTGGAGTCACTGCGGCTGATGATGCTGGTGCTGGTGCTGCTGCTGCTGTTGATGGCAATGGCCCTGCTGATGCCTCGCCTTCTGATATACCAGAGGAGGCAACGGCAAAGGTCCCAGCGGAGGAAGAAGCAGCTGCTGGTGAGGATGCTACTGCAAGTGCTGGAAGTGAATCAGCTATTAACAAGGATGGTTTATCAGATGATCTCAGATTAGCTACTTCTCTTGAAATAACACGTGCTGTCCTTTGGTTATTGGGCTCATAGTGTTGTGCTTGGCTTCGGTGTGCAGGGATGGAGAAGCGGGCACAGAGGATTGGGGAAGCAAAAGATGCAGGAGCAGGGGAGGGCGAGAAGGAGAGAGATGCATCAAGTCCAGCTGCGACATCGCCGCAACCAGGTGACTAAAGAAACGATCCTGTCCACTCATTCACCCGTGACTCAGCTTGGTAAACTGGCTTATTATCGTGTGGGATCTTTGTGAGGTTGGGGATGCTTCTGAGCGTGGTGTTATCAGGTGCTACCCTACGACGACTTGTACAAACTTATTCTGTAATTTCAATGGTAATCGGCTCCTGTGTGCACGCGTCTGGTAGGGAGTGTGCCTCTATCGGAGGTGAAGGTCCCTCGCCTGGAGGATGCCGGGCTGGAAGACACGGCACTGCCTCTATCCGACATCCAGGTTGGTGTCTCTAGCGTCGCTGGGTGGGCTGTGTTGTTTCTTGCGCGTGCAAGGCCGCCAGGAAGTGTCTGCTGGCAGGCTGCAGCTGATAGTGGAGGTGTTTAATTGGTTCCTCGTGGTTGCGTCGGTGCTGTATGCATGCATGTGCTGTTTGGGGCCGGCCACAACGGGGACAAACGATGAATTTGATGCGACAACTGTGCAGGCTGCGTTTGAGATTGCAGCGAGAGAAAGGCCAACGGGTAAGCATGGAGAATCGGGACCTCTTCCTGCACCACAGCTGCTCTCCTGATGCCATTTACTGGTTGCGTCCCATGGGGTGCACAATACAGTGTCACACGGTGGGCATATTTGTGTATTTTTCACATCTCGTCTTTTCCTTGTCTATGTTCCCTGCAGAAACCAAGTAATCGCAGCAACAGCAGTGACAGCTCAGCAGGCAGTGAGTGGCAAGTTGTGTCTAAAGATGATGCTTCTAAGGAGGACGGATTGAAGGCATCACAACCCTCTGCTGCTGCTCTTACTACAGCAGCTGAGGCGGCTGCCGCTCCTGCTTCTGACGTGTCAGAACCTGCAGCTCTGGTCTCCCAGCCTGCTGCTGAGCCTACAGTTGCCAGCGGTTCAAATAAAACAAGTGCGGACGGCGAAGGGGCGAAGGAAGAAGGAAACGAGAAAAAGAATGAGGCAGAGGCGAGGGGAGGGAAGGGCAAGAAGGAAGGTGGAGTTGAAGAGGAGGATGAGGTAAGCCAGAGATGAGTTGTCTTTGTGGAACATGCATTGAGCAAGGGGGGGTTGTGAGTGGGCACGAAGGATGCATCCTGTGGTTGTTGAAGGTACACACTGGGTTTGTTCATTATATGCCTATCCATGCTGTGTGCATGCCAATTGGTGAAAATCTTCCTAGTTCCCTTTGGCGCTTTGTGTGGACTTGGCTTGCAGGATTGGGGTGAATGGGAGTGAGGAGCGCAAGGAACCAAGGATTTGTATGAATACATAGTGCTATTGTTTTACTCAACGAAGACGTAGGCTCTTATCTTACGGTATGATTGCTAGTTCTGTTAGAATCTGACCCTGCTGGAATTCTGAGATAATGTGTACGTTATGAATCGAAGCAGTGCACTACGGACGATTTGTATATGCTGGTTCCAGGTGAAACCTCTAATAGAGACGTTGGCTCGGGTGATTGCCTAAATTCTCTACCAATCCAGTGCTCCAAGTTTGTGGACGGTTGGGTCTCCCACTTGTGGAAAGAGGTCCTGCCAGATTCGTCGTGAGGTGCATCCGAAGCCAAAAAGCGTTTCGTTTCCAATCTCATGGATTTGCAAGATAGGCTGCCAGTTTTGTCCTTTTCGGCTCCGTGGCGCAACCTCGACCAAGCACGCGTTTGGAGGGGAATCCTAGGAAGTCTCGAACCGACGTGACACGTTGTTTGCGGCTGGCTGAGTTCGTTGACACATCCACTCTTCAAGTGGTTGGTTTGATGGGATCAGGGTGCACCACATGACCCACTTCAACCTGGATGCATCCATTGTCTTGTTTAAGCTTTTTTTTTTTTTTTTTGTTAGGGCCGAAATGGGGGGCGTGGTGGGGGAAGGGTGGGAGGGGGTAGGGGTGTGCTTTATGGGAGGAGAAGGTGGGGGGGTGGAGGGGCCTATTTTGAAGGACCACAACCTCTTTAATAGAAAAAATAACATGTATTTTTAACCGACCATTCCGGATGACGTCATCCCCGACGGTTCTGTGGAGGATTGGATTGCATGTTGACCTGGTGACATGGGCTTGCGTGAGTCCCCTGGTTGACATCTGTCTTTGCGCTCGATGCCTCTCATGCGAGCCGCGATGCAAATGTCCGTTTCAAATCAGCGACACAGGTCAGCGGAGCATCTTCCCCACCCGCTATCCACGTTCAGCCCCTGGCTCCCCTAGACTTTTGCGCCGACACCACACCATCGCGGAGCCATCACCTTCCTCCTCCACCCTCGTGCGCAACCACCGCTGGTTGGAGTTTGCGGGCCAGTCACGCGTGCTCTCACCTTTTCGTCGTCGTGTCAGCAACTTTCGCGCCGACCTGTTGGAGATGACTCTCTGAGGTGGGTTGGGCCAACCAAAGGAAGCTAACCCCTATTGAAACGAGTCCGTGCCCCCCATCGCAGTTTAAAAGCGTGGAACTTCGCACTCAACGCGCGCATCTTCGATACCTGAACGCTCGTCCGAACCAAATCAACATCCACTGGAATCATTTTCCTCGCCAGGCCCGATACTGTCGAACTTACACCCTGGTTTTTCCCGACGCCTCGGACTACCCAGGATTTTTCTCCATCTTCTCCATCTCGCAGAGTCCAGCCCAACCCCGAACCCTCTTCCCCGCCCCTTCCTCCCCCCTCCTCCTCCCCTCCTTCCCCTCCCCCCGCCTGATCTCCTTCCGCCATCCGTTCATCAGCTTCCATCCCAGACACCCAAATCTTCCTAGCACAAACAATCCTCGAGCTGCTATAACAAACCCGTTCCCCACTTCATTTCGTTACCCAGCTTTTTTTTAGAGCGGTTCACCGCTCTTTCCTCCAGCTCTCTCGTAGCTCACCATCTCGCTCGTTACTACCTTCTAGCTTTGCCGAATTAATTCGCAAGGACCGTCTCTTCGACCATGGCAGATACGCGTCAAGTAGGATCGCTCTGGACTCCAGAGGTAGATTTCTATGAATCTGCAGAGTTTCCGAAGCTCATTTTTCCTCGTTAACGTACTTGGTGCTCGTTTCCGCTTGCCAAACTCACTAAAATAAACTCGAATCTGCTATTCGATTTTTGTTTCCGTGCAGGAAGACGTAATTCTTCTGCAGCACGTAGCTCGCTACGGCACCAAGCATTGGGGCTCTCTTCAATCCAGCTCAACCTTGCCTCACCGCGATCAGAAGGCGTGTTGTAACCGATTTATTCTTCTGAAGAGGTAATTTGACCATTAGGATCTTTCCAAATCCGACGATTCGTTCATCCTGTGAGCATAGACGTATCATCAACTCGCGCCGTCGCCCCGCAGGAAATTCTTCCAGGCTCGAGCCAAGGGTCAGAACCTGCAGACCATCTTTCCTTACATCAACGTCAACTCCAGCCTCAAAGCCCCTCGGCGACGGTGGCCTCGTCGATGCTTCACGCTCCCGCATCCCTCTCTTCCACGGAAATCGCTCTCCGCGTGAACGCCTCGTCTCGCGTAATCTCCAAGCGCGCCGGAGCGCCTTCGCTTTCGAAGCCTGCTGTCCTTCAGTCCGCTCTCACCACGTACGAAAAGAATCTATTCGTTCTTCCTTTTTTCCTTTTTTTCTTGTCTTTTTTTTCCAATTTGCGGTGTTTACTTCAGCTCGCTCCCTTCCGCTCGTGATCTGATCGAGGTTTGGTTACATGTGTATTGGTCCACAATTCCGCAGTGTTAAAGATCAAGCCGCAAATGGCGGCGGCTCCGTGTGGATGCCGAACCTCGTCGACGCGCAGCGCTCTCCGGCTGTTTCAGATCCCTCGTCTCCTCTCAGCGCATCTCACGGCGTGCTGTCCGTCCAGCAGCAGCAGCAGCAACTGCAGCAGCTGCTCGTCACGATCGGCCAATCAGCGAACGCCGTGAGCCAAGCCACGATGCAGTTCGTCAACGCCACGTCGTCCGTCAACCCTACTTCGTAAGCACAGGCTCAGTCTTTCAGTCGCTTTCTTGTGCCCTTTCGTATTGGTTCCTGACAAACTCTTCATTCGTATTCTCATGGCAGATTTCCCGCCAGCCACGTCAGCCATCAGCAGGCTCAGTCCGCAGCTTCCAATTCCGGCGCGGGCCAGCAGAGCGCAGCAGACGCGGTGGTGAACATGATTCTGCGCAAACTCGCCGGCGACGCGTCTGGCTTCGCGAAGCATCCAGTCGCCAGCGCAGCGGCGGCCAGCCCCGCTTCGTCCAAATCGGACGTCTCCGTCGAGCCCGCCTCCGCTGCTGCTCCCTCCGCTCCCCTGCTCGACGCCTCGTCCCGCCCCTCGTCCGCCCCCCCTCGCCGTCCGACTTTCCTCTCCGCGCCGGAGCGCGGGCCGTCCGCCGTCGTGCCGTCATCCGCGGGCTCTGTCCCCGCGGACTCCGGCGTGAGTCTGCAGCAGTTGGTGCCGGGATCGTCGGAGGAGACGGAGAGCGACGACGACATGCTGCTGGCGTACCTGTACGCGCAGGGCCACGCGCACGCCACGGCGCCGGAGGTACATGGGAAGGAGGACAAGGGCGGACGGCGCAGTGGGGGAGGTCGAGAAGCAACAGGAGCAGCAGGTGCAGCAGGTGCAGAGGCAGGGGGAGGTGATGGCAATGGATGGAGCAGCGGACATGTCGCTGCTGCTGCAGCTGCACGACGATGGTGATGGCTCTCGAGAAGCTCGTTGCTGCTGGCGCTTCTCCGCGCCCGCTGCTGCTGCTTCGCCTAGCACGACCTCATCGCAGCCCCTGCGTCAGCCCTGGCGCCCCTCCCTCCGCGCGCTGTGAACGCGTCCTTCTCCTGTGCTGCTGCGGCGTCAGTTGCAGCTGTCCCTCTCCCCAGGAGCACCTCCCAGCGCCCTGACGCGTTTCTGGAGCAGATGTCGAGTGCGCCCGCTGCGTATGCTGTTTGGGTTCAGCCCTGTGTATGACCTCATGGCGCCTGGCGCTTCCTGGAACGCTCATGCTGCTGCTGCTGGTGCCGCTGCCATACCTGCTGCTGGTGATGCGGCTGGATGGGACTTGAAGGAGCTGATTGATGTGTGGGCGTTCAACCTTGGTGCCTCCTGCTGCCTTCTTGGCGTGACATGTGTACAGAGTGGCACCCGCGCACATTCAAAGACTGCAAGTGTTGCCGCGGTGATGGGTGGTGGTGCTGGAGGCAGTGGTTTCTTTGCTCTGCCCGTTGCACCCAGTGGGGATTCGGCCACCATGTCCTTTGCTCTGCCAGAGCTTTCTTTGCAAGGGCGTCTGCTCTTGTTCCGCTCTTCTGCTCTCTTCGCTTTTGTTTTCCTCTCTTTGATGTCTGCAGTGTCTAACCTTTTTTGCCAGGGATAGCTGGCAGCTTAAGCAGTGGGGAGGCAGGTGTTGCGGTGCAGCTTGCTCTGACGGCTTCTCGCTGTTTTTTTTGCCGCAGAGGGTGAAGGCCCGCTGTGTGCATGCTGTTGCTGCTCCGTGCCCTGCCTCTCCCTGCTCTGTGTCTGTCAGTTTATGTTCCAGGCTCCTAGGAAGGCACTTTAGGCACTGCCTAGTCTGTGTGTTGCTTGGCAGACTGTATCATGTGTCTCTTGTCTTTTGCATTGACTGAACCTTATGTTTTGAATTCATGAATGTCATCAAGTGGACACTTCACTGGAGTAGCCTAGGCGAACTACATCAGAGAGGAGCATGCAGCTTTGTCCACCTTTGTCCATGTTGCCTCCTTCAGTACTGCGCGTCCTCACAGCAACATGTCATGCCAAGCCGCGAGAACAGCACATTCCCCCGCTACTGCTGGTGCTCGCAGTGATTTGACGCTTCGTTGCACATTTCCCCCTCGGTTCTTTGTCCTGTCAAATTCTCTTCCATCCATCCTCACACTTCCCATGACGCCATGGCTTCAGCGTGTCTATCCTCTCGCCGCGTCTTGCCATGCACTGTCGCCCGTACCTCCACCGCACTTCACCGCTATATCCGTTGCCGTCGTCAGATCGCCAATCCTCGTCAAATCGCGAGTCGCAACCGCATATGCCACCAATTCGGAGAATCCAGTAGTGCCAGTCCGAGCAAACTAGGTGCGTGGCCTTAGCACTTCCTGGCAGCAATGGGGGGATTCACAGAAAACGTCCCAACAGCTTTTTCCGTCTCCGTCG